CAAACTGTCTGGCTCCGACTTCCCGATCCAATGCATTTCACACTCGTTATTCCCGCGGAACAGTACAAGGCCCAAAAGGCGCAGTGGGATTCCCTTTTGAGCTCGATCAAGGACAGGAGAGCCTGCACACTCAACGTGCGCGACACTGGAAACGTTGTTCACATCCGACTTTCCGGCTCAGTCAAGGAAGCGACGGGTGCCCTGAAGGTGAGGGTTGAGAATTTGGCTCGGGGGGAAAAAGTGGACGGTTGGCACCGGTCATTGGGCTTTTCCGGCAACCATTTTGTCACCCGCGTCCGTTTGGAGACTGGGGCATACCTGCGCGCCGACTGGAAACGGCAATCCTTGAAGGTCTATGGGGCGCCGCGAGCTGTGGATCAGGCTCGCGAGATGATCAAGGGCGAGCTCGACAGGCTCGCTTCTTTGGACTACACCATCACCATTGCACGGCACTCTGTGGGTTTTTTTGTGAGAGAAGGGATCCAGGAGCTGAAGGAGACGCTCGGGGAGAACAACGTCAGGTTCGCAATGTCCTCCAGAAAAATAACCGTTTCAGGCGGCGAAGAAGCACGGCACGCTCTGGATCGTCTCATCACACTCTCTCAAAAGGGCAATTGTGGCCTCCCCCATGCATCGCAGGGCAGCCAAACTTGCCCTATTTGCTACGACAGTGTCTCTTCTCCGCATCAGCTAGGCTGCGGTCATATATACTGCATCGCATGTCTCCGCCATTTCATTTCGTCGGCTCTTGAGTCGGATCAATTACCCCTGACTTGCCTCGGAGATGAAGCTCAATGTCGCGTTCCGATCCCCATCCCCACCATTCAGCAGTTGCTTCCCCCAGCGTCGTTCAATCGGTTGCTGGAAACGGCATTCGACTCGTATATCGCGAAACACCCTGAGGAGTTCAAGCACTGCAAAACGCCGGACTGCACGCAGATATATCGTGTTGTTCAGACTGGTGCGACTCCTCAAACACTCTATTGTCCATCCTGTTTCTCTGCTGTGTGTAACGGATGTCACGAAGATGCGCACGACGGCCTCTCTTGTGCCGAGAGTAAAGTACGACGAGACCCTGCAGAACAAGAGCGCCTAAACGATACCTGGATCGCATCGCAAGGCGGACGGGTGAAAAAATGCCCACACTGCAGTTTGCTGATCGAGAAAGTAGAGGGGTGTAACCACATAACGTGCCGGTACGTAACGTTCCTGTCTCTGTAAGTTCCAAACTGTCTGAGTCACTAGGCCTTTGGCATACGTGTGCCTTTTGGTGAATAGGTGCGGCGCACACATCTGTTGGCAATGTACAGGGATCTTTGCCGAAGATACAATATACACTCACATGCAGAGCGCCCACGGGACGATCCATGACGACGTGCCGGCCCTCATTGGCATTGAGGTCGATATCGAAGAGCAACGAGAACTTTTTCGACAGGTGGAGGCACACCGCGCTGCTGCATTGCGCAATGCACGACCGGCTTGGGAACAGGACGTCGGTCACGGTGGTATTTGGGATCTGGACTATCTACCCGCGCGCGAGGAACAGGAGAGAGTGGAACGTCTGGGGTTGCAGCAGTGGCGAGAAGCCGAGGAGAGAGAGAGAATGGAACGCCTGAGGTTGCAGCAGCAGCGAGAAGCCGAGGAGCGAGAGAGAATGGAACGCCTCTTGCGGCAGCAGCGAGAAGCCGAGGAACAAGGGAGAATGGAACGCCTCAGACAACAGCGTCGACTCAGAGAGGCAGAGGAATGGGATAGACTTCTCAGAGAGGAGTACGGGCTTCAAGAGCACAGGCGCAGAGAGCAAGAACGACACTCTGACCCGGTTTGGAGTTTAGTATTGATTTCCGCTTGTTCGCTCGTAGTACTCTACTACTACTTAAGATACTTATATCGCGCACGGTAACCTCGTCAATCGCCTTGATCCATCACTTTCTGAAAAGACTGAGTCTCCCAGAGCGTATGCGGACAGGCGTCGGGAGGGGGAGAGAGCGTGGCTGGAGGCTCCGAGGAAGTGCACTCCGTGTACGAAGCTTCGAAGAGCAGTGGGCTCGGAGAACGCAGTTGGGATCGGGTTTCCATCTGAGTTAGATTTTGGGTCTCGGGCCGTGGCGGGTGTTGCCATGGATGTGGTCCTTCCTCTGTTATACCAGACATAGCACTTTGCTTGCAGCAAACTTCAACTTCAAGTTGAGCAAAGTCTGAAGGAAGAATTTAATTCGCCTCGTGGCCGACTAGCTTATCTTATCTTAGTAAGTAATATGACTTGACCACACCCGGGCCCGTTCCTCATCAGTGCCATCGCCAATGATATCCCCGACGACTCCATTGGAGCCTTTGGAGGTGGTCGAGCGCGGTAGCTCAACATCGCTCATCGATCTCCCGCCTGAGCTGCTTATAGCGATATGTGCCTTTGTGGCGTTTCCGACGGCCGTCTGGTGTCGTCTCGTTGCGTTTTCTTCTCTTTCGACGAGGAGTCACGACTTACGCGCCCGTCCGTGATCTAGGTATGTCGACGACTGAGAGACATCATCGATGCGTCGCTCGAGATGGAGTATCGGATCGAACTCGCTCGCGATGGGATGATCGATGGAGGCGCTTGCTCGTACACACACTGGCACTCCCAGACTCTGGACAGCGCTTTCACTCGCACCCGCACTCGCACTCGTGCACAAACGCAGACGGAGACAGAAGAGACTATTGCTCGAGCGCCGCTTACGACGTCTGACCGCCTCGCCCGTCTCCGTGAGCTCCGAAAAGCGTGGTCTACTCTGAGCTGGACGCGGTGCGTGACGGTGCCGATGCCTGGGCCATGTTGTGCGTACGAGCTCGTCGGGGGTGTGTTTTGCAAGACGCGGCCGACCGTGAGGCAGGGGCGGGGACGAGGACGGGGTGGGGATGGGGGTGCGGGTGGGAATGGCTTCGGGAATGCGTCGAGTGGGTGGCTTGGGGTTGCAAATGGACATGATGATGGAGGTGGACACGGAGAGGCAGGGGAAGGGATCAATGTCTTGGGGTCACGTATTATGTCGTTGACGTGGCTCCCGGGAACGCACGATCAAGGGCGTACAGACGTGAGAGACGATCTGGGGATTCCGACGCGCGACCTTGCAATGGATCCGTCACAGGATTTGATGGTGTTGTTCAAGGCTGGGGAGGATGCTGGAGCTGGATTGTACGTCTCTCCTTTACTTTCTCTTCCTTTTTCCTCTCTGTTTGGAGATGATGACGATGATGACAACGACAATGACAGGCCGATGGTGGACGAAGTTTCTGGCATGTTGGAGTTACATATTCGGACGATGTCAACCGATGAGGCGCATCCAGAGGCACGGGTGCCGGTGTTGTGCGCGCCCATGCTGTACTCCATCACGAGCTTATCCGTCCAGATCGTCGACGACGTCGTGGGGATGATGTACTGCGTCAGTGTGGCACGACCCCGCATCACTATATGGAACTGGAAGACGGGACGTCTGGTCGTGGTACGTACGTGCGACGTTTTGTGTGACCTGACCGACTTACTGAGCGTGCCAGGACCGTGCGAGCGGTAACCTCCCGCATGATACGTGGGATTTTTCGTTTATCCATAGCCGTGCGCTGTTCGTGACGACCAGAGATGGTAGCGGGTCCCTCGAGCTCTTTACCTTTACCTGCGATCACACCAATTCCAACACGCGCGCCAGCATCAATGCTGACTCGGACCCCTCATCCCCATTTCGACCGCAACCCGAAGCCACGCCATTTACCCACGTCGCGACCCTCCACCTCCCCCTGGTCCGAGACTCGGTCTTCGTGCTCAGCGTCGAGACACACACCGGCCCCTTTGTCGCCACCTGTCCACTCGACACACCGTTTGTGTCGTCCAACGAGGGACGTATCCACGTGGTGACAGTTCAATATGCACATCCGCCTGTGTCGGACGGACCGAGGACGCGTCCGAGTGTGTGCGTGTTTGTGCATGGCCGGACGTTGGAGAGGTATCTGGAGATGGGTGCCCAAAGGGGTCTTGCAAGTACCGCTGTGGGTGTGGCAGAGGTACCTTGGTCAGAGTGGGGACGGACGGGCGCGCGGATGCTGCCCCACCTGAGGGCGTTTCAGTGGTTGAGGTGGGTCCTCCTGTTTGTGCCTTGGACGCCGCGTCGATGCTGATTTTTTTGCTCGTTGGACGGTATGATTAGATATGTCCATGGACAGCGCGTCGTGATCCTCCCGCCCACGTCCAATATCGACGACCGCCCTCCTCATAGACGGTCTGGTCGCCAGACTACGTCCCAAAAGAGCAAGAGCACGTTCCGAGTGCTCGACTTTAACGTCCGCCGCGCCTTTGACGACGACGACGACGGAGATCCGTCGCAAGTTACAACCACAACCACCCTCAAACGCGTCGACTACCCCACGCACCTCTTCATGCCCAGTATCTTTGTCGACATTGTCGAGAGCGGGCTACCTTATCGCGAAGCAAGTCGGGACGTCCGGGGCGGTTACTTGGGGGCGATGATCGACGACGAACGACTCGTCGGGCTCAAGGTGCGTGGCTGGCGATAGGTATTCAAAGAGAAAAAACTGACGACGTGACGATCGTGTTCGTTCGTGTTCGTGTTCGTGTCTTCGGGAACAGCACCCGGCGTCTTCATCAGGGGATATGAAGGAAATAGACGTGTTCACGATGTGATCTGATCGTCTTGGTCTCGGATCCGAGCAGCAAAGAGAAAGAGGTGTTGTGAGAATGTTAGTGCTTCATTTCTCTCTCGTAACGACTTGGGATGGTCTTTGAACGATCTTGGATGTCTTGCTCTCTCGCTTTCGATCGTGCCGATTCGTGTTGTACTATAGGCATTTTACCGACGTCCAGCCATTGTCCGTGACGAGTGATGGATGTACAAATTGAGGGTTCAGATATACCGTGCTTTGGCGTTGGGCGAAAACGGCAAAGCTCACCCTCCAAAATCCTTACAAAAAAACTGGACGAACTTCAAAGTGGAACCCACAGGCAAAAAAAAAAACTCGGATACGGGGAATCGAACCCCGAGCTACCGCGATCATTCTGAACGAGAATGAGAGGCGGTAATGTTAGCCTTTACACCATATCCGAACTGATTTATTGCGTCCTGTGTCATATTTGGCGGGTTCCCCTTTTTCGCGTCCGTAAGCTTACTGCCCCCGACGCGTGGTGGAGACGGATCTAGCGCAGATGCTGAGTCGCCATAAGTGAGGGACGGTCCAGATGGGCCATCATCGGGTAATCATGAAGCGGCACCCATAGAGCGTCAATGATACGTACGGGACTACGGGTTCTACACCATGATACGTGGTCACCGGTGAAGCAGCGAGGCGCCTAGTCAGGAATTCGGCCAGGCATCGAGTCCGTACTAGCACACAACGCTGTGTTCATGATCGCCGAAACTCGCAGCTTCCAATTATACTGGTACACGTACACAAACACGCGGTTCTTTCATGTTAGTTCAACCATTTCAAGCTTATCATCGTACAGGGTACCATCAGCTTGATCGAGATGCCGCTTCATATGGTTTCCTGCAAAATTTTCCACACTACAATGTGCCAGGACAGTCGCGGATCGCTTCCATAGGGGTGAGATGGCTGCCTCAAATATTACATTTTCGCCGTTCCCAGATAGAGAAAGGCAAGCCCGTCCTGTCACTATACCAATGCTAAATCGGGTGGTAGAAGTCTATCGTAGAACTGTGCACCGCTTCATGCACATGCCCTGTGACACATAGCTAGGGGAGATGTTGGATGTGCTTGACGACTCGGAGCACCGCAAAGACTAGCTGCCATCCTCATCTGAGGGGACGATCCAACACGGCTCCTTGACGGCTCTAGTGCTGTGCGCGGTGATGGTGACAGGTCCAAGTTCTGGAGCAAGTCCAAATGCAAGGGACACTGGTGTAAAACCTAATCGATTAAAGGATAACACCGTTTCAATCCTCACCTGACGGAGGAGCAGATTGGATTGCGCAGCGTTACAGTTTGGAAAAAACAGGCAAAACGCTCAAACCCCAGGCAGGAGTACTTCGGAGGGAAAAACAATAAGCAGGGGGTGAGTGTAGAGACAATTGAAGGACACGACAAATCGAACCGAGTCAACGTACGCATTGCGTAGTATCAACCTGCAACCGAAGGCTGTAGGCGTGGGATGGCAGCCCCCCAAAAAAATAAGAATAGAAGGGTATGAAATAACAGTGCGGGTACCAAAGGTATCAATAACTTCCAGCGCTGGGAGGCGGAAAAGGGAAATATTCGACAAGAGGGCATCCCAGAAGAAGGAAACGGTAGGGGAATAACGCAAGGAAACGTCATTCCCTATCAAACATGGACAAGGTATACATTTTTTAGTCAAGAGAACTAACACCAGCAGAAATGACCTTGTGCTCGGCAAGGAGAGTGAAACGTCACAGGACAAGAGGAAACGTTGAGATCATGATGGGGTCCTTAGCCCGGAAAGCCACCATAAGGATCTATGGATGCGTACGATGATGTGTACCTCTTCTCAGCATCCGTTGTTTCTGTGACACTGACACGAACGGCGACGCTGGATGGTAGCTCGGGAGTGGGAGCGGTTGGAGTATAGAGAGTTCTCATGGAGGACCCATTGTAACTAAGGGTGCGTGCGGGGAAAGCAATCGGGGAAGTAGGAGGGGAAGTCATTTTGCGCGTGGCATATGCTCGCAACATCTCGTCGGGCGACATTACGTTATCGGGCATTGTTATCATACCCGAAGCGGGAGATGCAGCTGCAGGCACAGGGTGGACAGGGAGTGGGGGTAAGGGGAGATCGACACTTTGCTTTTGTGGCAAAAGGTAGTCATCTCCAGCGTTCAGTTCGTCACCAGTGCGCATCACTGCGATGGGTAAATATCATGCGAAAACTAGACACTAAATACACCCACTAGAGAGCGAGGGCCAAACCTCATCTATATTGCAATACGATTCCGCATTGTGGTCACCTTCCATGCGGGCTTTAATATCTTCAGGAGTCAAAGAAAGTGCACCCTCGGTCTGTGTAGGAGACATGTCACCGGTATCGTTGTGAATTGGGAAAGCGGGAGTTGGGAGAGGGGGGATAAACGACGATGTACGGGACGAGCGGAATGCACGACTGGTTGCCGTAGTACGACGGGAATCAATAGATGGACGGACGTCAGCCGCAAACGATACCCTAGAGACACGTTCGCCAAATGCCGAACTACGGATGCTAGGACGAAGTTGAGATATATCGATGGACTGTTTCTCCGCACTCGTTGAATCGCCTTCGACAGCCATGGTGCTGGAGGGGCGGATGGCACCAAAGGTAAAGGCAGAGGAGCGGTTTCCTGTGCTCCCAACGGCCATGCTGTTGCGAATCGCAGCAGTAGCCCCAGCAGCGGTGATCGACTTCCAGTCGGTAGAGATGGTCGACATGCGTTTGTCAACCGCCTCAGAAAAGCGTTTGCGTTTCTCTTTGCCCCTGGTGCGGCTGATCTTGATGTAGAGGTAAATGCCGACGGCGATGAAAAAGAGAGGGACGAGAACCCCTGCCGCAATTTTACCTTTCGAAAGAGAACTGCTGGTGGGGAAATTGTTGACATATGTGACAGTATTTGGAGTGTCCAAGTTGGCCTCGTCGGGGGTGGAACCAGACGCAGGGGCAGTGTAGGTGGCTGTAAATACAGGTCCTGCAGGGAAAGGACTGAGGAAAGGTTGGGAACCTGAAGCGACGATCGAGAATTGAAGCGGCACCGAGGACGAATCATTCCACCACCTAGGCTCGAGGGTGGTCTGGAAACTACCCAAGCCAAAGTTGACATTTTGCCACTCATGAATACGGCTGTTGTCGAGGCTTGGGGCGATGAGATAGATGTCGGCGGCTCGCGTATTGGGCAAGCACGATGTTTGCCAGGAGATATTGACGGGATTAGCGCTCGAAACGACCATCCCTGTAGTCGGGTTGGTGTAGAATCCCCCGGTAGCGCAAGCTAGGAAGCAACCCGTCACGAATGGAATGCAAAGACTGGAGGCTACCCACAACTGCGCTTGTGGGGGGGATGGTGGGCACCGGCGAGTCCGACCCGGACATTAGTGAAGCCGGATCTCTTTTTCATGCCGGTAGATGCTGAATGATTCGCCGACGCTGATCAGAAACGTATGTGGAGGGGTTTATAACCCTTTAAAAAACAAAGAATGGCTCCGCAACAGAGGGCGGCCTGGCAGGAAGGAAAGGCGTGAAAACGAGAGGACTCAATGGAGACTTTGCTGGATGGCAGGAACGGCGAGAGACAACAATTCGAACTCAGCCGCGTACTCCAGCCACCTTTCTCGCTAACTATCCTCCAATCACAGCGTCGTCAGGGAGAATGTCTCATGTGAGGCACACCTTGACAACTTGGCAGGGACAAAAATTTTACTCTATACAAGTCATCACCTTGTCGTCACCTTCCGAATCTCTTCGCTCCTCGAGACCCCGAGTTTGTAGCACCCTGTTATCATTCCGAATGTGTTCGGTTCCTGGTTTCTAGCCGGTTAAAAAGCCCGAACACCATGACGGGATATCACAGGTGAAGACCCCGGAAATCGCTTCTCGTGTGAGTAAACATCCAAATTTGGTATATCCCTCAAGCGCGACTGACTTTGAAAACTTGCTTATAAGCCCGTCGCCCCGCGTCTAAACCTTCCTGTCTTCTTTCCCTCGTCGCTGCATTTCTGCTGGTTGGCCTCCCTGGACCCTTTTGCTGCCACTCCTTGTACTCTGGAACTCGCCATGTTGGCTCAGGTGACTGCCTTTCATATTTGCTGTAACTTATTGGTCCCTGTTACAGTAGCTTGTAGTCCATTTTTATTACTTATAATGTCTGATGTTTAATGTAGCTCTATGCAATCTACCAAGTGCTGAGATATGAGGTGTAGTATGGTTGTAAGTTGCCTTGGTATTGTACCTCGCTAGTGTGATATATGGATCTGTCATTGATGTCTCGGGTGTCAGGGCAGTCCGAGTCGCATAACGACGAACAAAGACTATAATACATAAGGGGAATAGGGTGGACGTCGAAACAAATGTGGCCAGGAGGCGAGCAAGGGGAAGTCGAGTTGTTGAAGGTGATCGGAACCTCTTAAAGGTTGGCAACAGCATTGGAAACGATGGGGAGCGAGGTGGTACGGGCGGCGCAACGAGTGACGCGCGCCGTGACTCGAACGCAAGCCGTCGCTACATCACTGTTGCGAGCACGACGGTGCGCGGGTGAGGGCGGGGCGATGATGACGACGGTGTCGCTATGTTGCTGTTGTGAGCATGACAGTGTGCGGGCGAGGGTGGCGCCATGATGATCGCAACCGTGCGACCATCACGTTGTTGTTGCTGTTTCAAGCGCACCAGTGTGCGGACGAGGGTGGGGTGAAGGCAAGGGTGAGGGCGAAGTGGGCACGATGGTGAGCGCTCGCGCTCGTATGCGAACATAAACAGAGGGTCGGGTGAGCGCGAGGGCGGGTGCGTGGACGTCCGTGTGGTTGTGCAGGGGACCGTGGGGAGGTCGATGGCGGGTGGCATGCATGCGAATCGGGCCAGAACGAGGCAGGTGGGCAGGCCATACGTGTTGGGATGGAGGGGACGGGAATTGTGTAGAGGCGGCAGGGAGAGGTGAATGGGGCACGAACGAGGCCCTTAAGGGGATGGCAGGAGGGAACGGATTGGGCTCGCTCGTGGCCCAAGCAGGCCCCGGGCCCAAGTGTCGAGTTACCTGCGAGATAATTTTTTTTCATATATTTTCTAGAGTCTCTGAGGTCTTTGTGATTAAACACAAGGGACGGAGGCAATAAGTGTTCGGTGTTTTTTGTTTGCTAGACTATTGGTACCGAACAACTTCGGAATGATAACAGGGTACACAACACTCCGAGACCCCATTGTGAAAACTCGCTGACCGGATACTGTATCCCTCAATGGTGTGGCGTCGTGGACGAGATAGTCAGCTTAACTTGCATGACGTGCCAGTAAAGACAACCCGGGTGAAAGCGGATCCTCGTTTATCTACCTCACACATACTGATAGCTCTGTGGCAGTCAACCTGAAACCAAACCTAGTATGATTTCTTAGAAGGCGAAGTG